CCTTCCTTCCTTCCTTCCTTCCTTCCTTCCTTCCTTCCTTCCTTCCTTTCTTTCTAAATTTTATTTAATCTTTTTTATAATTCAGATTTTATCCCCCTCCCAGTCTACTCTCTGACTGTTCCACATTCCAGTCCTTCCACAGTCTCCATAAGGATGTCTGCCCCCTCCCCCCGCCTCCATCCCACCAGACCTCCCCACTCCCTGGGGCCTCCAGTCTCTTGAGGGTTAGGTTCATCTACCAGGTGAACCCAGACCTGGTAGTCCTCTGCTGTATATATGTTGGGGGGATCATATCAGCTGGTGTATGCTGCCTGGTTGGTGGTCCAGTGTCTGAGAGATCTCAGAGGTCCAGGTTAATCAAGACTGCTGGTCCTCCTACATGGTCGCCCTCCTCCTCAGCTTCTTCTAGCTTTTCCCTAATTCAACCACAGGGGTCAGCAGCTTCTGTTCATTGTTTGAATGTAAATATCTGCATCTGACTCTTTCAACTGCTTGTTGGGTTTTTCGGGGGGGGCAGGCATGAAAGGCCCCTTTTTGTGAGCACTCTATAGCCCCAGTAATGGTGTCAGGCCTTTGGGCCTCCCCTTGAGCTGGATCTCATTTTGGGCCTGTCCCTGGACCTCCTTTTCCTCAGACTCTTCTCCATTTTTGTCCCTGCAGTTCTTTCAGACAGGAACAATTATGGGTCAGAGTTTTTGATGGTGGGATGGCAACCCCTTCCCTCACTTGATGCCCTGTCTTTCTGTTGGAAGTGGGCTCTACAAGTTCCCTCTCCCCAATGTCTAGCATCTCATCTGAGATCCCTCACTTTGATTCCTGAGAGTCTCTCAACTTCCAGGTCTCTGGTACATTCTGGAGGGTTTCCCTACCTCCTACCTCCTGAGGCTGCCTGTTTCCATATTTTCTGCTGGCCCTCAGGGCTTCAGTTCTTTTGCCCTACTCAATCCCAGATCATGTTCCCCTCTTCCCCATTCTGTTCCCATTCCCATCCAGGTTTCTCTCTCTCCCCTCCTGTGATTGCTTTCTTCTCCCTCCCAAGTGAGACTGAGGTGTCCTCACTTGGGTCCTTCAGCCTGTTAGCTGTTTTGAATTCTGTGGACTGTATCCTGGGTATGCTGTACTTTTTTTTTTTTTGGCTAATATCTACGTATTAGTGAGTACATACCATGCATGTCCTTTTTGGGTCTGAGTTACATCACTCAGGGTGATATTTTCTAGCTCCATTCATTTGCCTGCAAAACTCAGAATGTTCTCGTTCTTAATAGCTGAGTAGTATTCCATTGTATAAATGAACTACATTTTCTGTATCTATTCTTCTGTTGTGGGACATCTGGGTTGTTTCCAGCTTCTGGAACATTTCTTTAAGGCTACTCTGAACATGGTGAAACATGTGTCCCTGTGGAATGGTGGGACATGTTTTGGGTATATGCTCAAGTGTATAACTGGTATAACTGGATATTCAGGTAGATCTATTTCCAATTTTCTGAGGAATCTTCAGATTTATTTCCAGAGTGGTTGTGCCAGTTTGTAATCCTACTAGCAATGGAGGGGTGTTCCCCTTTCTCCACATTCTCAACAGCATGTGTTGTCACCAGAGCTTTTGATCTTAGCCATTCTGATTGGTGTAAGGTGGAACCTCAGGGTAATTTTGATTTGCATTTTCCTGATCACTAAGGGCTTTGAACATTTCTTTAAGTGTTTCTCAGCCATTTGACATTCCTCTGTTGTGAATTCTCTGTTTAGTTCTATACCCATTTTTTTGATTGGTTAGTTAGTTTTCTTTTGGTGGTTAGCTTCTTGAGTAGTTTATATATTTCTATTTGATGTGGGGTTAGCAAAGATTTTTCCCCCCAATTTGTAGGTTGCTAATTTGTCCTACTGACTATGTTCTTTTTCTTACAGAAGGTCTCCAGTTTCATGAGGTCCCATTTATCAAGTTTTTAATCTTAGAGCCTGAGCCATTGGGGTTCTATTTAGGAAATTTCTGCCTGTGCTAATGAGTTCAAGGATCTTTCCCACTTTTTCTTTTATTAGATTCAGTGTATCTGGTGTTATGTTGAGGTCCTTGATCCACCTAGACTTGGGCTTTGTGCAAGGTGATAAATATGGATCTATTTTCATTTTTCTACATATAGACTGCCAGTTAGACCATCACCATTTATTAAAGATGTTTTCTTTTTTTCCCAAAGTATATTTTTGGCTTCTTGTCAAAGATCAAGTGTGTGGTTTTATTTTTGGATCTTCAATTCTATTCCATTGATCAATGTATCTGTACCAATACCATGCAGTTTTTTAATCACTATTACTCTGTAGTATAGCTTGAGGTCAGGGATGGTAACT